TCAACTGAGTAAATTAGCAGATTTAATCGGCTTTAAGCGATTCGGGCAGCATCTGACCCACCAAGTAGAAGGTGCCAGGAGTTGTGCAGCATTGGAAGGTTTTTATAGGAAGGAGGGGGAGGGGGCAAGGGAGTTATTAGCAAAAGAAAAGATTGTTCCTTCCAGGCAAGGTCACCTTCTCTCAGGAGGTGGGTGGGTTGGAGGGAGTCTTAGGTGGATTACCTCATCTTCCTTTGTGGGGGCGGATAGTGAGGGCCCATGGGACATTAACTCATCGGTGCTGACCAGAGAATCCCTGACTGACCGGTTGAGACTTTCTGGGGGAGGTGGAAACTGCAATTAAGTTAGGTGGTAAGCCCCCCATTTGGGGACTTGGCCTATGTCGCTCCATTTTTGGCTTGTGGTTTTCTTTCTAACACCAGTAAAAAGATGTGCTTTACTCTACATTTATTCACCTTGGGGAAGAGAAAGTTGAGACTATTTGGATATATTTTTTAAAGATTTTATTTATTTGAGAGAGAGAGAGCTCACACGCATGGAGGGGAAGGGGCAGGGAGAGAGTGCGAAGCAGACTCCCAGAGCAGAGACTTCATCCCAGGACCTTGAGAGCATGACCTGAGCCGAAGGCCGGCCTTTAACTGACTGAACCATCCCGGCAACCCTGACTACTTGGTTATTTTATTTATTTATTTTTAAAGATTTTATTTATTTGAGAGAACACAAGCAGAGGGAGCAGCAGACTCCCTGCTGAGCAAGGGGTTGGGGGGAGGCTCCATCCCAGGACCCCGGGATCATGACCTGAGCCGAAGGCAGACACTTAACTGACCCAGCCACTCAGGCGTCCCTACTTGGATATTTTTAAAGAATTAGTAGTTCTGTGAAAAAGGAAGAGTCCAGGGGGTGCCTGGGTGGTTCAGTGGGTTGAGTGGTTGAGTGGGACTGGCCTGTCTCTGAGTAAAAGTTCAGAAGAGCAGGTCAGTCCCCACCTGTGCAACCTCTGTTCCGGGCCCAGGTAAAAAGAGTGCTTTGCTTCCACATTTCTGGGCAAGCAAATTTGTAATCACGGAATAAGTAAAAGCAATCCAGTAGCACTAATATGGATACTGGATTAGTAACTGGCTTTTTAAGATGTTTGAAAGTGTTCAATAATCTGAGATACTAAAGGTCTGATTTGTTCATTTCCAAGGGCCCCTTAAGTGCTTAGGAAGAAGTTACTGGTTGGATTTGTAGATCAAGGAGATTCTGTGTGTAATTGAAGTGTAGAAGGGAACTGAGTTAATCAGGTTTGTAAGGCACACCAAATATTCAGGGGGAAGTCAGATCTGCCAAACTCATAATCTAACTGAGCATTATTCAGAGAATGTGAAAGTGAGTTTTACATCCAAATTATAAAATTAATCAGCACAATAACATTGGGAAGCAAGTGGAAGGCTTAAGAGAAAGAGATTTTTTTCTTTAATAACTAATAAGTTGATCATAAATGTAGACATAAATAATGCACAAGTCCCCTCCCTAACTTGGATGTGACTCCGCCACTAAACTGATGAAGTGCTGTCCCATTTATGGAATGGATGAATGAGGGGGTGGCCTGGACTGCCCCCACCCTAGCCAGCAATCCCCCCAGCACAGCACACACAGGCAAATAGGGAAGCATGTCGCCTTTATTAATACTTTCAGCCCGCAGGAGACCCCATGCCAGAAGCTGAACCCCAGGGTCTGGTTGTCCTCGCCGAACACACCAGGCTGTGGTACAGAGGCACTCAGGATGGGCAGTGGAAGGGTCTCAGTGCTCAGCATTTCCTGAGTGGGCAGGGGCCTGGGAAAAGGCAGAGCCCTGATGAGGTCTGGAACCCTCCTCACCTCCCAGGGGACCTGAGCCCTCTCCCGCCTCTGGTCTCTAAGATCAGTCACTCGGCAGATGAGAGCCTGCTGTCCCTCCCAAGGGCTGGGACAGCCCCAGTGCATCCTGGAGGGGCAGTGATGGTGACATAGGGCGAGTAGTAGGGGACAGGGCCACCCTGACCCCTCTCACCTCCATAGCCATTTCCCAGGGGGCCACTGCTGCCTCTCTTCACCTCAGGGTTGCCTAAGGCACAGATAAGCCAGGGCACCGGGTCGCGAGGGCTTCAGAGTCCTCCTGCCCTCCCCAGCTTCACCCCGAGCCCTGGGAGACTGCCACTCACCGAAGGGTCCAGGGCCCGGCTCTGGCCTCAGCTGTCCATAGGTCGCTGGGGGGAAGGACAAAAGGTGGGAGCACTGAGTCCCCAGTGGCCCTCACGTGGGGTCTGTGACTCCCCCATCTTGGTCTCGTGTCCAGGCTCATGCTCAGGGTCCCCTGCCCCACCTGCCTCTCCTCAAACCCCACCCATTCCTGCCTAATCCCTCCTGTCCCTGGCCTACACCTTCTCTACAGGCCTGTGGGTGTGCCGAGGCCCAGGACCCAGCTCCCTTCAGCCACACCTGACAACCCCACGATGCTCTTCCACACACCCCCTTACCTGGCTGGCTCCTGACCCCTGGATATGCGCTTCCAGTCCCATATCCAGGCTTCAAGGCAAGCCCCCAGGGCTGCACGGAGGGCCAAGAAGAGCCCCTTAGGGCCCCAGCCTGACCTGTAGAAGGAGAGCTACTGTGGGCACCCCTGCCCACCAGCACGGGACATCCAGGATGCCACAGGCCTCCCAGGCCCTCAGAGGTCCTTGCCAACTTGGCTTGGTCCCCATGTCCCTTGCGAGGGTTCACCCCCTAAACACTCATTTCCTACCATTTGCTTCAGGGCCTGGAACTGCTGCTTTGGGGTACACTGGTGCTTCATCCCCATACCCTGTAAGAGATCCAAGTGATTCCTGCCCAGCCCCCGGATGTCCCTCCCCCTGAGCCCCTACACTCTGTCCTCTGTCCCTGACTCACCATTCCTAAAGCCATTGGCCCCGGCGAACTCTGGAGGAGGGAGGAGAAGGTCAGAGACAGGAGTAGCCCCTGAGCCCAGGGCCACCCGCCCCAGGCCAGCACTCCCAGGCACCTGGCTGCGAGTGGGCCTCAGGGAAGATCCCAGCTCCCAGACCATTCCAGTAAGCAAAATCTGCAAGACAACAGTGGGAGAAAGGCTGGGTGAGTGTGGGGGAAGGGGGGGCTCAGGGTGACCAGCTCATGAAGAGACAGGAGACGGCAGACAGACAGACAGACTGACACAGAGGAAACCAACATTCTCCCCACGCTCAGCCAGCTAACCCTGTGCAACCTCTGGTGTCCCACCTTCTGGAAGCCTGTCCTGGCCTCCCTCTGGCAGCTTCCCTTTCCACCCCAGGACTGTACCTCAGTGCGCCACTCGACCCTCACCTGACACACAGTGGCACCTGTCTCTGGCCATCATTATGGCCTACTGCAAGTGAATGCATGCTGGTTCAATAAGGAAAGAGCCAGCCACAGCAAGAGACAAGGACAAGCAGGGCTTGCCATAGGGAAGATAGCAGCTTGTACCCAAGGGGCCCAGGGGGCTTACCGACTTTCTGAGGCTTGAGGCCACCACCAAAGCCTGAGAGAGAGGAAATGGGGGGCAGAGATGGAGGAGTCAGAGAGCCAAAGTCTCTGACTCCCCTCTTCCTAAGCTAGGGGACAGGAGAGGAGGGGAGCGCAGGGGCCTCCTCACCCAGTGCTGTTCCTGCTCCATAGCCATTCAGGGGCTGGTATCCTGTGAATAGAATGGAGATCAGCGGAGAGCACCCAGACTTTCCCTAACTCCTTGGGGGCCAAGTATGGACCCCTTAGGGGCTCTGAGGAGGAAGAAGGGATACTCCCTATTGACAGGAAATAGAACCAGAAGAAATGGGCTTAGAAAGCAGCAAGAGAAACTGTGGGTAGACTCGGGAAGGGACTTCCTGGACTTAAGGAGCCTCAACACCTGAGGCAGACTGGGGCTCCAGGATTATCAGACCCTGATCTGGTCTGGCGACAGGAGGCAAACGGGGTCCCACCTGCTTTCTGAGGTTTCAGCCCCCACTGGATGGCCGGAGTCGGTGCTAGGAAGAAAGCCATGGGATAGGAGTGAGCTTAGGGCAGGGAGGGTTGGGAATGCTGCAGTCTGCCCTGGGGGTGAGGGCTGGGGAGAGCTGCCCTAATGGGGGTCCCGTGGGGTCTCAGGGCCAGAGTTTAGGCTTTCCCTCAGCTGGCTCTCAGTGACAAGCCTCAGTCTCAATTAAAGAATGGGCCTGGGGGCTTCTGAGCAGCCCAGCTAGACCCAGCCCCTCCTGGGACCAGGGATCCCCTGGTGTCCCCCAGGGCCGCCCACTCCACACTGACCTGGGAACTTGCCGTTCTGCCCTGGGGGAGAGGGCTGAGATTTGGGGCCCCAGCCGCCCCCTTTATCAGAAGGGACCCCGGAAGTGGAAGGCCTGGGGAGCAGTGGAGGGACCCTCCCATTGCAGGGACCTAAATGGAGGAGGAAGGGGGAGGGCAGTGAACCCAGGCTCGCTTCTGCCCCAGGCTGCTCTGCCAGCCTCAGCCTGGCCAAGCCACGAGCCTGTAGTGACTTCCAGGGCAGACACAGCTTCCAAGGGGGGCCACTGGTCAGGCCAGAGAAAGCCCCACTCCCGTGGCGCTTGGGGGACAAGGGGACCCAGCCACCTAACATGGCTCCTGCTGCCAGCCCACTTAGACCCTCTGCCTTCCAGCAACAACCCTCCTGCCTCTCTCCTGGGGTGCCTCCCTTCACACCCAGCCCTGCCCCAGAAGCCTCACCTGGCTGGGCCCCCACCCCATTTCCGTTGCCATATCCTGGAGAGAAAAAGCAGGGATGTGAGGGGTAGTAATTTGGGGGGGAGGGTTCTGGAAGGAGGCAGGAGGAGGTGCAGGATAGAGATGGGGGGATCTCTCACTTGCCTGGCTTTCGAGGCTTCACACCCCCTCCCAGAGCTGCAGGAGAGACAGACCCCCTCAGACTTCAGACCTCAAGCTCCTAAGAAAGAGCCCTGTCTCCCCTCCCGAAGCCCCTCGGCACTCACCTGCTGGGAGCTGCAGCCCTGGCCCTGGCGTGTATCCTGGGGAGAAAAGCAGGCATGAGGGCTGGGGCTGGGGTGGTGGCAACTTCAGGGCAAGGCAGGAGAGGGGCAAGGATGGGCTCACCTAGCTTTGAAGGGCTCATGCCCCTTCCCAGGGCTGGGGAGAGACAGAAACAGGCTGAGTGACAGCGGACCCCACCCTGCCCCTTCTCTTCCCCAGGACCCAACTCTTTGCCCCATGGGGCCCTGCGCCCCCTCCTCCCCTGCCCCCCCCCTCCCAGCACTCCAGGGCCTGCCCCTGCCTCCCTCACCTGGCTGGGTCCCCTGGCCTGGGAAGGCTCCAGCTCCCAGCCCATTCCTGTAAACTGGGAGACAGGGTGTGGGTTGTGAGGGGGAAAGCAGTGAGGGGAGTAGACAGTTTCTGGGGGTAGAGAGGAGTAGGGGCCCGATTCTAACACTGATCCCAATTCTGGATTTTTCCCACAGCACCAAGCAATTCTCCCAACACCAGCTGGGTGTCTGACAAGGTAACTCAATCCTGACACCAGCCACCTGCAGACAGCCTCAGACCCACAGGTTAAGGGCTCAGTCCCCACCCCCCCATTTCAGGCACACCCCCAGCCCGGGTGGCCACCTGTACATCTGACCCACTAGCTATAAACCCAACTCCTTGGGAGTGACTGATTTGCTAGAGCAGCTCACAGAACTCAGGAAAACTGTTTCCTTACTAGAATCCAGGCTTATTATAAAGGCTAGAACTCAGGACCAGTGGACAGAAGAGATGCAGAGGCCAGGCGTGTGGGAAGGCCTGAGGGGCCTCCGCCCTCCCCACACCTCCACGGGGTCACCCACCCAGAAGCTCTTCCAACCTGACCCTTTCGGGTTTCTAGGGAGGCTTCGTTACACTAGCCCGGCTTGTGACCCTTTCCATCTCCAGCCGGCCCCCTCCCCAGAGGTCAAAGGGTGGGACCGAAAGTTCCAACCCTCTAATCACCAGGTGGGTTCCCCTGGCAACCAGCCCCCAACCTTTGGTGACTCAGGGGCTCTCCAAAAGTCACCTCATTAACATAATAAAAGACACCTCTACAGCTCTCCTCACTCAGGAAATTCCAAGGCTTCGAGGGGCTCTGTGCCAGGGCCTGCAGATCAGTTATTTCTTGTTAGAAGTCACAGTATCACAGGGAGGGAGGAAGGCTTTACCTGGCTTCTGTGGCTTCCCGCCCTCACCAATGCCTGAAGAAGAGATGGGAGCAGGTGAGCGACCTACTCCCCATCTCTGGGCCTCTCCAGAACCCTGGCAACTGGCCCCAGTGCCCGCTTCCCTACCTGGTCCGTAGCCCACGGGAACCGCAGGGCCTGTGGGGATGGAGAGGCTCAGGTACGGAGGGCCAGAAACCCGGGGCCTCCTGGGCCTCCTGCCGCCTCCATTCAATCACCAGCCCCGTCCTCTCCTAGTCTGGCAGGACCCCCCGGAACAGGGCCTGGGTGAGGACCAGCGCTTCCCGCCAGGCCCTCCACACCTCTCCCCTCAGTACCTGCTCTGTAGCCTTTGTGAGCTGGAGGGCCTGTGCTGGCAGGGGGAGGAGCAGGGGGTTGGGGCTGGCTAAGGTAGGGGACCGCCTGTGGTCCCCCTTCAGAGCCCAGCCAGAACCAGGGCTCCTGGAGGCCCACCAGCTGCTCTTAAGCACTCGCTGCCCTGCTCCTGCAAGGCCTGGAGGGAGGCGGGACAGGATGCCGGACTTGTACCCCCCCCCCCACCCGTTGCCATTCCCGAATCCTGGGGGGGGGGGGGGAAGGACGACAGATAGACAGGGGGTGTGAATGGGGAGAGATAGGCAGGGGTGAGGCTCACCTGGCTTCTGGGTTTTACCGCCCCCCACCTAGGCTCCGGGGGCGGGGTGGAGGCTGATGTTGACCCCACCAGACCTCTTCTCAGGGTCTCCTGTGTCCCCAGTTCCTGCTTTTCTCCCAACCCCTCGGGACCCAGACCTGGCTGCCCTCACGTAGCTGGGCTCCTGGTCCATTTTCGTTACCATATCGGGGGAGGAGAAACAGGGGTGGACGTGAGGGGCAGTGTTTGCAGGGGTTCAGGAGGAGGCAGGACAGAGCCGGCCGTGTCAAGAAGACGTGGGTGTCAGGTCGCCTCCTCCCTCCCCAGGCCTCCCGGGCCACAGGCTAAGCTCTCCATCTCCCCACCACGTGGAAGCCAGCCCTCTGCTGTCCTCACCCGGGCCCCGGCCCCTGGGAAGGCCATGCCTCCCAGCGGTTCCCCGATCCTGGAGAGTGATAGGGAGGCTGAGGAGGGGGTGCTCTGGCTTCTGGGGGTTCACGGACACAGACAAGACTGGGGCAGGACTCACCTGGCTTCTGGCGCTTCATGCCCCCCCAAAAGCCTGGAGGAGATACAGGAGCAGGTGAGGGGCCTGGGAGCCCCGTCTTAGGGCCTCCCCAGGGTCCTCCCCACTCTGCTCCTACCTGCTCCATATCCGTTCTGGGTCACTAGGCCTGAGGGAAGAAGAAAGGTGAGTTGGGGGACTTGGGGTCCAGCTGAGGTAGAGGTGAAGGTGCCCCCTTCAGAGCCAAGCCCGAAAGCTGGCATCTTGGAGGCTTCCTCCAGTGCTCCCTCAATTATTTACCGACCCTGCCCCTACATGGCCTGGAGCGGGGTGGGAGAGGGTGCCCAGATGCAGACCCCCAGCTCCCCCCCACCCCAGTCTCACCTGGCTGGGCTCCCAACCCGTTGCCGTTCCTGAATCCTGGGAGACAGATGGGGGCTGTGTGAATGGGGGAGGGGAGCTTACGGTTTGGGGGTGGAGATAGGCAGGGGTGAGGCTCACCTGGCTTCTGAAGCTTCATACCCCCTCCAAAGCCTGGTGAAGACAGGGAGCAGATGAGGGCCCAGTCCCCATCTGTGGGTGTCCCCAGAGCCCTAGAAGGTGCCTACCTGGTCTGTAGCCATTTTGAGTTGCAAGACCTGATGGAAGGCAAGAGGGGCTCTGGGGCCAGTCGCTCTCTGAGGCTCCCCATGGAATCTGGAATCTACTGCCACCCCCACCCAGTTGAGCCCCTGACCTTCCCCTGGGGCCCAACTCCCTGGGGAGCCTGAATGCTGCCTGGGTCCCCTCTGGTCGGGCGTCACTGCCACCACGTGCATCAGCCAGACATGGAGGCCGACTCTGTGACATGGCTTCGCCCCACCAAGCACAGGGTCCATACTAGCCCCTGCCACCTCGGCTTCTGAGCTGTTTCCAGAGCCTGTACCCTTTCTGCTGCTCTCGCAGAGGCCCCAGCTCAAGCACCCACAGATTTTTCAGTGGGCCCCAGAGGTCCTCCCCCTGGCCTCCGCCTCCTCTTCCCCAAATACTCCTGGCTCCCCACCAGTCACCCCCTGGCCACTTGTACTAACGCTCCTTTCCTGTCCACCCACCCCAGCACACCCCAGGCTCTGGAGGGGCCTGTCTCCCACCTGGCCAGCCCCTGGTGGTCTGTGGAACTAACGTTGCTCACACCAGGTGGGAGAGGTGGCAGTGGCAAGCGGGTCTCACGTGGTTTGTGTGGCTTCAGTCCTCCCAGGCATAGGGAAGACCAGGAGGCTGACTGTGTGTCCCGCCCCTCGGATCGGAACTAGGCCTGGGCTGTGCTCCTAGAGCTCCAGAGCCTCACCTGGTTGGGCTCCTACTCCCGGGAAGGCGCCGCCTCCCAGCCCATTCCCATTCCTGAATCCTGGGGAGACAGAGCAAGAGGGAATATGAGGAATCTGGGGCTCGGGAGCATAGACAAAGAGATAGCTGGCAGGGAGACAAAGAGCGGGGCTCACCTGGCTTCTTTGGTTTTCCGCCCCCTCCAAAGCCTGGGGGAGAGACTAGCAGATGAGGGACCCAGAAGCCCAGCCCTGGCTCCCAGCTTCAACCCCATCCCCTTGCTACCCCTGGTCCAAAGCTATTCTGAGCTGCGAGATCTATTGGGGGTGGGGGGTGACATGGAAAAGCGGGGTGGTGCTGAAATAGGCCCCCAGACTCCCCCCTCCCTGCTGCCTGGACCCCTCCCCTCCCCTCACACATCCCTCCTTTCAGCCTGGCTACCAGAGTGGGGGAGGGGGCCATGGGGCCTGTGACAGGAGAGGGGCTGGGGAGGCAGGCAGCAAGGGACCCAGCCCCCAGACCTCTCCCCACAGCTGCCCTCCGTCCCTCCGGCCCATGTTTAAGCCCCACGCTTCCTGCCACCAGCCTCAAGTCCTCCCACCTAGCCCTGGAGCCCAGGGTGGTTCCCTCTGGCTTAAAACCCCAAGGGTGCGTGCCATTGCAAGCTTAAAGCCCCTCAGCACTGGGCATGCTGGCTAGCCCAGGACAGGCACCTGAACGCTGGTGGAATTAAGGAGCCCCTAAGAGCCATTGCTTCGGCCTACAGAGGAAAAGCAGTGTGAGGCCTGGGCTTGGGGAGGAGAGCCAGGGGCTGGGGGACCAAAGGCAGGGCCTGGGGAAACACCCAGAGCCACGGAGCCACATGTGGACATCATCCCAACCTATCCTCTCCTCAGAAATCAGTTTTCTGGGCGCCTGGGTGTCTCCGTCGGTTAAGCGGCTGCCTTCGGCTCAGGTCATGATCCTGGAGTCCCGGGATCGAGTCCCGCATTGGGCTCCCTGCTCAGCAGGGAGTCTGCTTCTCCCTCTGACCCTCTTCCCTCTCATGCTCTCTATCTCTCATTCTCCCTCTCTCTCAAATAAATAAATAAATAAATCTTAAAAAAAAGAAAAAAGAAATCAGTTTTCTGCCCTCCAGTCCCTGACCTCCCTAGCTCCTCCCCAGAACCCCAGCTTGTCCCAGGTGCCCTCACCTGGCTGGGCTCCGACTCCCATCCCATTCCCATTGCCGAATCCTGGGAAGACAGCAAGAGGGAGTCAGGGGAGGCCAGAAGACCAGGTGGAAAAAGACAGAAACATAGGGACAGCATGCAGCTCACCTGGCTTTTGAGGTTTCACGCCCTCTCCAACTCCTGAGAAAGGGTCAGGGACCAGGTGAGGGAGCCTGGAGCTCCCTTGAACCCCCACACCCATGCCTATGCCCCTCAGTCTCCACCCCGTACCTGGTTCCTGGCCACCATCCTGAGCCACAGGGCCTGTGGAGGGGGGCGGGGGATTGGAGCTGGGCCAGTGTGGCTTCTCTGGGGGGGCTCCCCCCTCCTGTGCTGCCCTCACTCAGGACCTCTGTGTCCCTCAACTGTTCTTTGTAGGAAGCATGCCCTGAGAAGGGCTTGGAAGTTGGGAAGACCCTCCCCAAGACCACAGCTCAGGCCGTAGGCACGACAGCAGCAGCCCAATGAAGGGAGCAGTCCCTCAGCGGGGTGACACACGCCCAAGTTGGGGACACGGAGAGAGGGGAGAGAGGACAGCTCTCCCCTCACCCCTCACCTGGCTTCTGAGGATTCATTCCCCCTCCCATACTATTTGCATATATTAGCTCCTTAAAATTAGCTACCTACCTAGCTGGTTAATTAGCTAACTAAATTAACAAAATATAAAAAATCCAAAAAACTAGAAATACCGGATCTTCTGTTACTACTTAGCTACCTCCTCAATTAACTCTTAAATCAGTTATTTCCTTTCTTTCCCTTCCTTCCTTCCTTCCTCCCTCCCTCCCTCCCTGGGTTGAGACCAAGAGGCTCCCCCCACCCCCAACTTTCTCCCCTACTTATTCTCTGTTCCAACTCTACCCCTCCGCCCCCTTTCCCCTCCCTGGGCTTAGGCTCCAGGTATCCTCAGCTGGCTGGGCTCCCAGCCCTGGGAAGGCACCAGCTCCCAGTCCGTTTCCATATACTGGGGAGACAGAGCCAGAAGAATAAGAAAGAGGGGGCTGGGCTTCCAAGGGAGCCAGACAGAAGGCAAGGTGGATAGGGGGGTGGGCATGGAGGGGGCATCTCACCTGGCTTCTGGGGTTTCACACCCCCTCCAGTGCCTGAGAGGGAGATGGGGATCAAGTGAGGGTCTCAGATCCCATTTCAGGAATACCTAGAATCCTGACCCCAGCTCCCAATCACCCTGGGCCCACCTCTACCTGTTCTGTAGCCATTCCGAGCTGGAGGACCCATAGGGAGGGGGAGGGATGAACAGGGGAGGTTTGGAGTCCTAGCTGGGGTGGGGGTACAGGACCCTTAGACCTCACCAGAAACAGCAAACTGGAAGGCTCCCTCTCTGCCCCCTCAATCATTAAAAAATCCTGATCCTCCCCTCTAAGGCCTGGGAGGGAGACAGACAGAACCAACCCCCAAAGCCCACCAATCTCACCTGGCTGGGCTCCCAGCCCATTCCCGTTCCCAAATCCTGGGGGGACAGATGGAGATAAGGGGTGTGAGAGAAAGGTGGGGAGACAGAGCTGGGGCTGGGCAGTGTCCACCTGGCTTCCGAGGTTTAACAGTCCCTCTGAAGCCAGGGGAGATCCAGGGAAGAGGTGAGGGTCCCAGGAACCCCCCCCCCACCCCCAACAGCCATTCTGAGCAGCAGGCCTATGGGAATTCAGCTCTGGTAGGCCCATCCCAAAGAGGGTGGAGAGCCCAGCTGGTGAACGGGAAGGGGGCCTTGGAGCCCACTCCCAGCAGGCCCAGAGGACTTGCAGTGAGCCAGACTTGCCCCGCCTGCATGGGGTTCAGTGGGGGCAGCACAGAACAAGCAGGGACAGGAAAGAGTTGGGGGTGCCCAGGGCGGGGCACACGGGTGAGAGGACATCAGAACAGTCCTGATGGATTCCTAGGTGAGAGGGGAGTGTGTGCAGGAGGAAAAGGGAGGCCAGCCAAAAGGGGTCAGAGATCACTTCTCTGGGGGTTGGGGGTGGGGTCAGCACTGCTTCTCCCAACCCCCAAATCCCATTTGCCCATCTCTCACCTGCTCCCAGGCCACTGGGGGAGCCGTAGCCTGGCGGGGCTGGCGGGGAGGGGGAGACAAGAAGTTGAGCCTGAAGGGCCAGGAGGGGCCAAGAGCTGGGGCGCTTCAGAGGACACGGCTGCTCCCACCCTGCCCACCCTCTCAGCCAGCTGTACCTGACCTGTAGCCACTGGGGCTTCCTGAGCCTATGGGTGGCGGAGAAAGGGGTTAACTTAGGAGGGGGCAAAGGGCCCAACCTGAATGCTACCCCTCCCGCTCTGCAAGCAGGAGTGCAACCCCCTCTCTGGGCCTCAGTTTCCCCTCCGGTCACAGGAGGGGAGAGGATAGCGCCAGGTGAGCAGCCTGGAGGCAGGGGCATGGAGGGAGGTGTTTGGGCCATATCCCTGGGGGCAGGTCCCTCCGCACCTTCCTCGGGCGCACAAACACCTCTCCCCTCCATTCTTACTTTGGAGAGTCGATGGACCCCTCCCTTCCTAGAAATCTCATCCTCCTGGTGCCCCACCCCCTAATCTTTCTCTCCTGTAGCTTAGGGGCATCAGGTCTCAGAAGGGAGCCCCTTCTCCCACCCTGAGGACCCCCCAGGTCCCTGGAGTGAAGACCCTTCTGTGACACTGCCCCACCTGCCCCAGCCCCTGGGCCCCTTGCCTTGTCTTCTCCCCTCCTGCCCTACGTCCGTCTGGGCCTTTGCCCCTTCTCACTGCCAGGATGTCCTTACCCTTCCCTGTCACAGCTTGACCCCGTTGAAGACCCAGTTCCAAGCCCCTCCTCTGGGATGGTCTCATGCCTGGAGTTGATGTTCTGCCCTATCTCACCCCGGTTCCAAAGCTGCGGGGTGTCTTTGTTCCCCACACTTGAGCTAACTATGGACAAGACTGTCTGCCATGAAGACAGTGAGGGACACATACTCTCCTGTGCCCCAAATTTGGATCCCAAAACTAGGTAGGGAACATCTGGGGCTCTCCCCCAGAGATCTCCCAGACCCCTAGGGGAGAGACCAGGCCCTCTTCCCTGAGCCCAGTGCCAGCAGGGACCACTTACCTTTCCCTAGGCCCGGAGACAGTGAAGGTAGCCCTGGGGAGCAAGGAGATGTGGACTCAGGGTGGGGACCCCAGAGACGGAGAGGGAGAAGGACTCAGGCATTTATCCCTGAACCCCCCAAAACCCTGCCCAGGCCAGACTTCACACACCCGGAGCCCCAGCATTGGCCCAGTGCTGTACCTAGACCTCCCAGCCCTAACCTCAGCTGCCCGCCTCCCGCCCTCACCACCTTGCAGGCTTTCAGAAGTCAAGCAGAGCAGGAAAAGGGCTGTGGGGAAGGCCCAGGTGCCCATGATGCCGAGTGGAGTGGGAGGGCACACACCCTCTGGGCCTTTAAGCACCCCTGCTGGGTGGGGGCTCTCACCCAGGCCCCCCAGCTGTGAGTGGCAGAGGTGCTGTTGGCAGACCCCGGGGGGCCAGCCTCCCACCTCCCTCTGTGACCGGACTCCAAAGCCTGGCCTTCTCCCCGCCCCACCCCTCATCCATCATGAGTGCTGACAGCCGGGACAGGCCCCCACCTGGCCCCCGAGGCTCCTCCACCCCTGTCAGGATTGGGGCCCTGGCGCCAGGCCTTGGGAGCTCAGATTCCCTCCCAGCAGCTGGGAACGGGCAGGCAGGCACCCCAGGCCCAGCCCAAACACAGCTGGAGAGAGGAGGGAAGGCCAGGCCCAGCAATGCGGGGAAGGGTGGCTGGCAGGGGAGACTCAGCAGGAGTCACTGTGTTACCCAGAGAGCTGGGGGCAGAGACCACAGCGATCCAGGCTGCAGTGCAGGGGACTGGGTCTGAAAACTAGGCTGTCCAGCAAGAGCCAGCCTATTAGCTTATCTACCCCGCAGCCTCCCGGACCGCACCAGGAGGTGGCCCTTGGGCTCCAGCTGAGGCCGCGTGTCCAAGAGTGGGCCCCCAGCGGTGCTTCTCTAAGAGGTGGTGACACACAGGGAGCCTGTCCAGGGGCTGTCGCCGTTGCCTGAAGGCTTGGTGGGGGTCCACCCGCCGCAGGATGTTCTCTCAGCGCCACGTCTATCTCCTGCTCAGCCCCAGCAGCAGGGACTCTAAGGCTGGGGGACACTGGAGGGAGGGGCACTGCCTAAGTGCCACGGGGACAGTAAGCACTCTGTTTCTGGGGGTGCCCGATGAGCCTGGAGCCCAGGCCAGGCCAGGGGGACCTGATGGGGAGCCAAGTACGGGAAGACAGAAGAGGCAGGCCTGGAAGTGCCAGGAGTGAACCCCCCCAAGCTGGCTGGGGACAGCAGTGACTCAGGCCCCCCAGACCCTCGTCCAGAAGGCTCCACACCCTGTCTGTCTGAGGGTCTGGCCCCTGCTCAGTCAGCCCCTCCTGGCACCTCTGGCTAAGGAGGGCAGCCTGCCAGGTCAGGCTGCCTGACAGGGTAGGGGCCTAGGGAGGGGCTACAGCGGGGAGTTGGCCTGCCGCAAGGCTCCTGAGACCACAGCGCGTGCAGCCACAATGGACGGCAGGGCTTTGAGCAGGCGTCCCCCAGCACGGAGATGTGCCTGTCCCTCCCCTCCCTCTTCACCTCCTCTCCCACCCACATCCCGGGCTGCACCCCGGCACCACACTCCCATGGCCAGGCCCGTGGTGCCCACCTTCCCCGCCACATACATAAGGACCCTCTGTTCCCACTGGGTCCACTCAGCCCGGGGCCCTGGTGCAGCACCCCCACGTGCCCACCGCTTCCCCTGCTGGCATAGAGCTGTGACCCAGAGTCCTGAGCGCTGGACCTTTTACTGGCTGCTGGGAGGGGCTCCAGGGTGGCCCCTGGCCCCAACCATCCCACAAGAGCCCAAAATAGCTGGGATGATCTCTGCAGACTCCCCGGGGAGGGCTTCCTGCTGGGCCACCTCCTAACTGCAAGCGCAGGCTCCTGGTCTCATCCAGGGCCTCTGAGACCAGGCCGGCCACTGGATTCAGGTAACGATTGGGTTCAAACACCCGCTCTATCTGGCCAGGACATTGGAGCAGCATTCCAGCCTCCCTGAGCCCGTTCTCTTTCCTCTAAAATGATGACACTAACAGTTCTAGCATGTCAGGGCTATTGTGGAGGGAACTGCTTCTTACTCTGTTTTAGAGATGGGGCAACAAGCAGAGAAGGGACTGGGCTCAGACTGTATAACTCCCAAGCAGGGGGCCTGGGATTTGAAGACAGGCAGTCTGCAGGCCCAGTTACACCAGACACTGCATTGCTCTCTGCCTGCCCTACGTCAGTCTGGGTCTGAGATGTCCGCTTCAGACTCAGTATAGCTAACGGCCCCCTCTACAGACCCAGACACAAGGCTTCCCCCCGGGGCGCCGGGGAAGCTTGGCCCTCAAGGAGGTGGGCACACGCCTATAAGGCTACTGCCAAAGGGAATGCTGGTGCCCAGCGGCACTGCCAGGCTGCCTGGGTGCTGGCATGGCCCGTGGAAAATGCCAGCCAGCCTGGGGACTTGGGCCAGCTTGATGCTGCTTGGGGCCAAGCTCAGTGGGGCGCCCCTGGCCCATGCAATGGCGCCAC